TTAGTACTAATGTAGGTTATCAGGGCCACGAAATCCTGCTTCTAGAATATTGACCCATCTACCTCCATTTAGTCTCTTCTGCACAGTGTGGTAGGCATACTTAAGGGGACAGTGAACTAGGTCTTAATTGACTTTACAGCACAGGCTGTGCCTACTGTTTTGTGTCTGCTTGTTAGCAAAAATTTATTTAGTAAATGGCAGCATGTTTGAGAGACTTTGGTCAGGAACTTGCTCTTACTGAAGAAACTGAAACTGTATGTGTGGCTATAATTATATACCAAAAGGTCAAAAGAGATGTGACCAAATTGGCTTAGGCTGGTTTGTAATAAGTGTCAGAGCATAAAACCTTCAGTCTGAACAAAGTAGGTAAACCCAAGTCCATGCATTAATGAAAAACGAAGGTAAACATAGGTCTGCTGGGCAGATGACAAACAAGAAGGACCCAACTAACTGAGATCAAGAGAGGTACAAAGGCCCCAAATGAAGGCAAACAGGAGTCAGAACTGGGGAATTTGAAAAAAAAATTCAGATTCCTTACGATCCAGCAATCTCACGTCTAACCATTTATCCAAGGGAAATGAAAGCATATATGCATACACAGACTTGTGTATGAACGTTCATAACAACTTTATTCATAATAGTCCCAAAGTAGAAAAAACCCAAATAGCCATCTGTTGATGAATGGACAAACAAAACTGTGGGACATACGCAATTGGAATACTACTCAGTAACCAAAAGAATGAATGATGACAATCTGATATATTACTTGCCCAGATATTATCATGTGTTTGTACATTGTCAACTTTGCTGCTTTGTGGGCAGCAGGGAGTAGGAGGTTTCTTGTAAGGAATGCAGACCCCAGCGGAAGAACAGACCTGGTAGGGATTTCAGGCACAGAGGCAAGTCAGTGGAGAAAATAGGTTTTGTTTGGAGGCTATTCTGAAAATTCTCTAAGTGAGCCCTGGAAGGTGTCTACTCCATCAGAGAAAGGTACCCATTTTGGACGTTCAGATGACTTTGGTTCCTGTGGATACCACTCCCTCAAAAACTTGAAACTAAACAATGTTTATAATTCTTTCACTGGCTTCTTTCCCTTTTCAAAATAACACCTATCTTCTTCCCCTTTGAAAATAACTAATGCTAAGTTATTATATGATGAAAAGCTGCTGTTTCAGATTTTTGCATAGGAAAGGAATTTCCTTTGTAAACTCTAGTTTACTGTGCCTGAAAACAGGGGGAAAAAAGCATAAGGGAAAGAGATCCTCTTTGGGGATCTGTTATAGAATCCCTCAGATTGCATGAATGCTTTCTGTACATATAGGAGTCTATTGGGAGAAATTCTACACCCAAGACCAAGAACATAGTCCCGTGTCATTTGGAAGATGAAGTTTAGCGACAAGCTAGTAATCAGTGGTAAGTTTTTATTTTTTTTTTATTTAAAAAAAAATTTTTTTAACGTTTATTTATTTTTGAGACAGACAGAGACAGAGCATGAACGGGGGAGGGGCAGAGAGAGAGGGAGACACAGAATCAGAAGCAGGCTCCAGGCTCTGAGCCATCAGCCCAGAGCCCGACGCGGGGCTCAAACCCATGGACCGCGAGATCGTGACCTGAGCTGAAGTCGGAGGCTTAACCGACTGAGCCCCCTAGGCGCCCCTCAGTGGAAATTTTTTAATTTAGGATTTAGTCAGAGGATGGTTAAAGCTAAAACTTTAAAAGAAAGCAGTTTGTTTCTTTATATACAAGTCTTTGTGTCAATAAATGATTGTTATGTACCTAAATAACCGCCAGTTAGGGCACCGTGGGCTCTGCATGGAGCATGGAGTCTGCTTAAGACACTCTCTCTCACTCTCTTTCTCTCTCTCTGTGTGTGTGTGTGTGTGTGTGTGTGTGTGTGTGTCTCTCTCCTTTTGTCCCTCTTCCCAGCTCATGTGCTTTCTCTAAAACAAAAATATAACATAGCATCATAACATAACATAACATAACATAACATAACATAACATAACATAACA